GAAACATCCGTGGCCTGGCAGGATTTTAGTGGGCCGGATGTTCCACTTTTCAGAGGTGTGGCCAAGTGTCCCATAATGTTTGTCCTGGCCTCAGGCCATGTCTACACTGGTGGGTTGTTGCGCCAGAAGTATGCAAATGAGGCTAAGCGTGGAATATTGCCAAGCCTCATTTGCATACCTAATGAGCCGCCATTTTGCAGAAGAGGCTCTTGCGCTAGAAGGAGCTGTCTACACTGCCCCTACTTGCGCAAGAAAAACCCTCTTGCACAACGCCGTTATTCCTGAAAATAATCAGCGTAGCAGCATTGCGCAAGAGGGTTTTTCTTGCGCTAGCAGGGGCCTCTTCTGCAAAATGGCGGCTCATTAGGTATGCAAATGAGGCTTGGCAATATTCCACGCTTAGCCTCATTTGCATACTTCTGGCGCAACAACCCGCCAGTGTAGACATCGCCTCAGTGTTCTGTGCTGTCATTCAGCTCTAATTTACCCCGAAATGTCCTTTAGCAGCCCAGTGAGCAGTGGACGTGCTGGTGATGCTGCTAGACCATACTGACCTCCCACGGTTCAGAAAAGTCTCTCTTTTGGAGCTGGTCAGGTCCTGAGGATTCTGGACTAGAGAGGTGCAACCGGTACTAAAGTGTCACGCTCGTAACGCCAGGGCCTGTGAAGTTAGGTGGGTGCTGATTGCACACAACACTCAGCACGCACTGTGCGCGCCACGTGCTCTCTCTGCAGCCAATCAAAGCGCTGCTACGGTGCAACTGACACCCACCCCCAAATTCTAGGTACTTCAGTGCGGTGAGCAAAACTATCCCAGGAGATCGCCTTGGTTACAACAATCTTGTGGCCCACTGCGATGAAGGCCTTTCATTCGACCCACGCACTAGCCTCCGTGGCTCATCACTGGGTTAGAGGCACTTGAAAGTCACGTGTGTGTGTGTGCGCACTCGCATGTGTTGCTGGCAATTTGGAGTGTAGGGCTTGATCATATTGGGTGCTGCACACACACCACTTCCCAATGGGAATGCAGTCGGAGCAGATGAGCCATGCCTCACTTTTCCCATCTGTAAAATGGAGCTAATTAGCCACACACCCTTCTCAGGGCACTCGGCATTAAATGCCTTTGTGGGCCAGACCTCTAGCTTTGTCAAATCAGCACCACTGGCTAGCTATGGCCCTTGCCTCGTGTGTCTGAGATGCTCCAGGTGCCAGGCACAGGGGGCAGGATCATGAGAGGCGCATGGTTGCTGAGTCTGTCTGTTTGCCCACACACTGACCAGGCCTGGTGAGCAGCAGGAGGAAATCAACCAGGCGAGTGGCACGGCCAAGACTTGTAACCGTCCATTTATTATTCCACGTGGAAAGGCTTGAAAATGATTACACAGACGCCTGACGAGAGAATCACGTACATGTGACAAGAACATCAATGTTTATAATAGAAAAGCAGAACTGGCCACGTCAGGTGGCTCCTTACAAACGTGAGTCTGTCTGGTCACAAGGCAAGCAAAACTTCTGCGCTCACTGAAGGTAAAAGCAGCAGGATCATCCCTATGAGAGCTTTGCTAATGACTTCAATGGGAAAAGATCCCCCACCCCCACCCCCCGTGACACGTGCTACAGGTAAAAAGGGCTACATATTAAATACAGGGAGTTACCTTCAAGTAAGGCTGGCATAGTACACAAATAGCCACATTATTTGGTATTACTAGCATTTTTTTCAATCGCCATCGTAAGATTCCATTTAACAAAACAAATGAACAATCTCTGCTCTCCTTCACTAGAGAAAGATCTTTCTTCTATTCTCCTTCTTTTGTTTTGTTTTTCTTGTTTCTGTTTTTTGCCCCTGCCACGCAAGTATAGGAAGCATTATTAAGAACTGGATCCTTCAATACATTTAAGAATTATATTATTATAACAAATAAGACCAAAAAATTAGATTTTACAGTTAAATAGTTCGTAAGCCAAAGGTTTTACTGTACAAGCGATTGTGCATTTTTTTAAAAAAAGGCAAATTATAGTGCAAAGCAAATTTTTTTGGCCAGTCTTGCAACTGGCTGCATAACATAGAGGTGTCTGTACTTACACCTTTATATGACAATATGTCATAAAAGAACATAGTTGCAGTTTTTTTTATGTTTTAAATACTCCACGAACACCGTTACCTTGGTATGAAGAAATTCCTTATTTTCTTTGTGCTTTCTATCAGTGGAAATACTGTACTGAGAAACCTGACTGCATCAAGACAGGCAGTGCTAGTCCAGAGTGCCAGGCAGCTGCTAATTGCTAAGGCCAGAGGATTTTGCAGGTTTTAAACCCTTGTGTGCTCACTGCAGCTTGACAACTCGATCCGGGTTCCTGTGATTCGATGGCTTGACCCCATATTTAAACGGCAGTGCCAGTTCTGTGTAGTCTACGTCACTTGATTGCTGGAAAGATGCCCACTGGCTTTGGCAAGCCAGCCATCCTGCCTTCAGCTGTGGAGCATGGGATGGGCTTTCCAAAGGCCCTGAAGAGCCCAAAGCAACCTTCACGCAGACGTAAGCAACCAGATGCCAATTAATTCTCCTGGTAACTTTTTAAAAACCCACTGACAAATAGTCGTTTCATAGTCTGTTAAGGGAAAATAAGGGGCAACTTTTGGCCTGGTCTACTGGACAGATATGTCCCTCCAGCCATGTGCTTTGGTAAATACTCACAAGATTATTATAACTGTAGACCTATCCTTCAGCAAGACTATTAATGCAGCCCATCTGAAGTGACTAGGCAATGACAGGAGAGCTCGCATTCGGGTGCGATGTGTGGTACTTTATATTTTGATTTCATTTGTCTTACAATTTGATGCCCCCGAAGGTTTTTTTTTTTAATGTAAAATTGAGGGGTCAGTCAAAACTCAGTATTTTAAGAATCAGCTGGTGGTTGCCTGTATTTAAGTACAACTGCATGGTGTGGGGAGCCATTCTGGGTGTAACAATGGAAGAGAACCATAAATAAATACTAAGTATTGCCACAGCTGCCTGTGCGCCATTTGGAAACGAGAGTGGAGAAGCCACGAGCCGGAATTTCACATGATTCCAAAGGCTTTCGCGTCCTCTTTGCAGCAAATATGTTTAAGTGCACCTCACCCGCTGGATTGTCCCAAATGCGTTCTTCTTCTTGGATGCACCTAGCGAGACTAACTAGAAATAGCAAGACATTAATGTCCAGGGCAGGCCAAAAGGAAAACACTTTGTGTAAAAAATTACATCTCATGTAAACATACAGGGAGGAGATCAGCCATGTTACTGGTCAAAACAAAACAAAAAAATCACAATGCAACCACTTTCCAAATCAACTCACAGCATTTTTTCACATGGCCGACATCTGCCCTCTCGCTTGCAATGTCCCTCAGAACCGAAACAGTGTCTGCGAGAGCCAGTCCCATCTACTTTGCTGTCAGCAAGACTCCGGTCTCATCTCTGGTGTCCTTACTGGGTTCTTGTGGTGGTTAAACGCCCTTGTCCGGAGGGGGCAAGTAGCTAGATCCTGCGTTTGCAGCAAGGCGGATGGGCTGGGGCGTTTTTTATGGATCTGCGGGAGGACGGGGTTCTGGTGAAGAGCGTGCTGAATACTGCCATAGCTGCGCAATTAGCAAACGTTGCATTCCACAGAGTCCTATATACAAGCCACCCATTTCGAAGGGATCAAAGGACCCTTTCTGAGTGAGCAATTCAAGCCTTGCGGATGTGTGTCTTGACCTGTACACAACACTGGTCCATCGCTGCTTGCCAGGTGCCTAAGGACGGACCCTGACTTGCCTTCAGACAGGGAGCTGCCTCATGCTGGGCCTCGTTTTTCTAGCGACAGGAGTCACGTACTGGGGGGGTTTATTCGGTTAACGTTGCACGTGCCCACTTGAGTCCTTCCTAGTAGGGTCTCCAGACGGACTCATCCATCCTGCCGGTGGTCGTCATGGCTGTAGGCGAGTTACTATGACTACCATCCGCATCAACTCCATCATTCTGATTGGCCAGGTTGGGATTCATTAAGTTGTTGCCCACCGAGGCACTTGTGCAGGAGGACAGCATCCTTGTGGGCGAGCGCTCGCCCCCGGCCACCATGGAGAACTGGTACGATCCGGAGGACGTACCATAGTACAAATGGTACGGGGAGGGATTGGTTTGGAAGGGTCCACTTTGGTTCTGGGTGGAACCCGGGTAGGGTGGCGGAAGGTAGGTGTGGTGGAAGCGAGTCGTGGTGGGCATGCTGGTCATGCTGATGCCACTGATGCCTGTGGCGGAGGGCGTGGCACTGTAGGGGAAGGCTGCTGACATGGCGCCGGGGTAATGCATCCGGGGGTCGGAAAACCGTGTCTCCGTGAGGGCCGGCAGCGTAGGAAAGGAACGATCAAACTGCCGCGGGTCGGAGAAGGGGCTCAGGTCCGACGTGCCTGTTGGCAAGAAGAAAGAACAGTGGCTGCTTAGGCTTTTCCTGCTAAAAGGCCCAGACCACGGCGGGAGTAACTGGGGCTGGCCCCATGGGTGGTGGGTGAAGCTGCTGCTTGGGGAGGTAAGCCCGCCCATAGTCTGCCCCAGCCCTGCCCCTCCACTACCCTACTCCTTCCCCGCTGCCTCCCTTGGCTCTCTGCTCACCCCTTTCACCCAAATCCCTGAACCCAATGAAGCAAACCCCCTCTTCTAAAGAAAACGGGGCCCGGGGCCCACGGCATGCCAGCTTGTGACGACTGGCCACGCGGAAGGCACTTCATTAAAAGCGCTACGTTTGGGAATACAAAATGCCAGTCACAGGTTTTCTGCAATACTCTGAAGTTTGTCGGCGGCTTGGTAGTAAGGGCAAGTCAGCTGCCCTGTGAAGCCAACACTTAACTACGAGGCAAGACGTCGCTGGCACTTAACATCCAGCTTGAGCGATTTGTCCAAGCAGGGCCCTGTGAGCAACACGTCCGAACAGCCATTCCTGCGGCTGCAGCAGGAGCAAGGCCACGCTGTTGGCAACGCCTTTCTACAGGCAGAATGGCCGCCCCTGCCTCCCAGCGGCTGGGCCCCAGGAGGGGCTGCCCTGACGGAGCTGGCTTGGATTTTAACCTGGGCACAAAAGTGGTTTGAAAACAGGGTGGCCCTGGCGCTGGCCTTTCTAGAAGGCAAAAGGGTGCGGCCTTTACCCCAATCGGCTCATGAACCTGAAGCCTTTCCCCCAAAAACTGCTGAGGAGTGTGACCAGCAAAACATAA